CAAGGTTCCTTCCCCACTCTGAACTCTAGGGTACAGATGAGAGGACCTGCATGAAAAACCCCTCTAAGCTTATTTTTACCAGCTTAGGTTAAAACTTCCCCAAGGTACAAACTATTTTACCTTTTTGTCCCTGGACTTTATTGCTGCCACCACCAAGCGTCTAACAAAATATAACTGGGAAAGAGCCCACTTGGAAACGTCTTTCCCCGCAAAATCCCCCCAAGCCCTACACCCCCTTTCCTAGGGAAGGCTTGATAAAAATCCTCACCAATTTGCATAGGTGAACACAGACCCAAACCCTTGGATCTTAAGAACAATGAAAAAGCAATCAGGTTCTTAAAAGAAGAATTTTAATTGAAGAAAAAGTAAAAGAATCCCCTCTGTAAAATCAGGATGCTAAATACCTTACAGGGTAATCAGATTCAAAATGTAGAGAATCCCTCTATGCAAAACCTGAAGTTACAAAAAGACACAAAAACAGTAATATACATTCCATTCAGCACAACTTATTTTATCAGCCATTTAAACAAAACAGAATCTAACGCATATCTAACTAGATTGCTCACTGATTTTTTACAGGGGTTCTGACCTGCATTCCTGCTCTGGTCCCGGCAAAAGCAACACAGACAGAGAGAACCCTTTGTTCCCCCCCTCCCTCCAGCTTTAAAAGTATCTTTTCTCCTCATTGGTCATTTTGGTCAGGTGCCAGCGAGGTTCTCTTTAGCTTCTTAACCCTTTACAGGTGAAAGTGTATTTTCCTCTGGCCAGGAGGGATTTAAACGTGGTTAGCCTTCCCTTTATATTTATGACAGGAGTGAATTAGTGAATGGAAGAACAAGCCAAATGGATGGTTGGCCACAACTTACAATGTGACATAATGCTGCATTTTGTGGCCTTGTTGGATTATGGAGTCTGAATATACAGACTCATGCATCTGTCCTAAATATAATGCCAATATTTTGTACTAATGTAGCATTTTTCATTTTCAATGCATTTTACATAAACTAAGTAATTTTCACAATACCCTTTTGGCAGGTAATTATTATCTCCATTGTACAGATGGAGAAGCTGAGACAAAGACGAAATGACTTGCCCAAGGTTATAGAGAAAACTAGAGTCAGAGTCAGATTTTGAGTTTAGGCATTCCTAGCATGGAGGGCTAGTGTATGCACAATTTGGAACCAAATCATGTTTTAATTCACACCTTCAGTTATAAGAAAAGGAGGACTTGTGGCACCTTAGAGACTAACAAATTTTTTTGAGCATAAGCTCTCGTGAGCTACAGCTCACTTCATCGGATGCATTTCTGCATCCGATGAAGTGAGCTGTAGCTCACGAGAGCTTATGCTCAAATAAATTTGTTAGTCTCTAAGGTGCCACAAGTCCTCCTTTTCTTTTTGCGGATACAGACTAACACGGCTGCTACTCTGAAACCTTCAGTAATGTTGGTGCAAGTCTGTGTGTGGACAGCCATATTCCAGAATAAAATTTACAAAAATGACATAATGTAAATTGAAAATGGTGATCTTATTCCAGAATAAGTGTGTCCACACACACACTTGAACTGACATAAATAAATTTGTTAATTAAAACCATTTTAGTTGTTTGGGATCCCCTTTGTATGTAGATGAACCTTTATTCTTTGCATAGACCATATTTCTCATTTAAATGTATTTGATACAAAGGATATTAAGGGAAATGTTGTCAATCTAACTATTTGTGGGTTTCCCTTGTGTTATGCTAGTCAGGGCTCAGTGTAACTGTATGTTAAAGATAAAAGCTTGCACAGGATTGCTGTTATGAATGAAGCGGTAATGAGAAGCAGCTTTTTTCTTGTGGACCAAGCAAGGGGCAGGGAGCCAAATTCTAACCATGGCCCTAACGCTGATTTCCTGTTTCTTAGACAAATCACTTAACCTCTCTGTGCCCATTTCATCATCTGTAAAATGGAAATAATACTTCCCTACTTCATTAAGGTTGGAGGATGAATTAGTTAAGATCCAATGCTCCTGTCCCTCTATGTAAGCAAAGGTGAATTTGACCGGGTGCAATAGTGGGGCTGTTAGCTCCGTAACATGCTCTCTTTCTCACAACCCCATGTAAGCCATTTAGCAGAATGTAGGCTCTGTGGGTGGGGGATGAAATAGGAGGGAGCAAGTTTTGGAGGTGGTTGTCATGCACAACTGCATTGTGCCACCTTCAAACACATGGATGGGCAAACTAGCACAAGTAATGCTGATTCAATCAGCATTATCTTCAGTAGGTTCCCCATCCACATTCTAATCCTCTCAACACCTGAAAGAGAGGTAAGGAGTCATACTTTGGGCTCTGTCAAACAGCAACATCGGATTCATGCTGTCAGTGGGTTACAGGTAACCAAGAGCCAGGGCATCTAAGGAGATGACAGAGTCCTCTGGAGGCTCTCTCAAGATCTCATTAGATGTGTGGACCACTCCCTTTGTCGTTTCTGCAGAAGTGCAACCTCCCATGGCTCCAGTAGAAGAATGAAGAGAAAAGTTTGAGTGCAGACTCATGTCATTTCCAGACCCTTGGATTTAGGGGAGTCTGGGGATCTTAATGTTTATACAGCATTTGAAAATGTAAAGCATCATATAAGAACTGTATGTTACAATAATGCATTTTTTCATTCTACCACAGGTAATTGACTCTTTGCATTCCATAGGATTTAAAAAAAATATGTACACTTAACAAATGTGGTTCTAAGAGGTTTTACTGAGATTTCCTTTGCTGTATTATTTATATTGTTTGTTATTGTTAAGCACTGACTGCTGAACAAGAGACAATTCTTCCTGAGGAGTGTTTAATCTAAATGGGCATATAATGCAAAATGCACCATGAGATGCACAGAAAGGTCAAATATATATCTTCACTTATGTATGACCCTATGTATTATGCAGCTGCAGAACACATGTGTTGGCTACCTTTTTCAGCAGACTTGTGGTTAAAAATCCCCTAAGTTTTCATTTGTTTTCAAAAACTTTCTAGCACCTTGAAAATGTGAAGTGTGTAAACTGAATCAATACTGTATTTGTGAATCTGAAGACAGTCTACAATAAAAGCCTAAGAGGTGTGAACTGCCCCATTCATCTCAATGGTTGAATTCTGGAACAAAATAATTATACTTAAATGTCAGTTTTGTCTGTCTGTTTGTAGCAATGAGTGTTGCAACTGAGATGGTCCCAGGATATGAAAGAGACAAGATGGGTGTGGTAATTCTTTTGTTGGACCAACTTCTGTTGGTGAAAGGTGCAAGCTTTCAAGCTACACAGAGCTCTGCTTCTCTGTGTAGCTCGAAAGATTGTACCTTCTACCAACAGAAGTTGGTCCAATACAAGATATTATCTCTATCTACCTAGTCTCTCTCATATTGTGTTTCACTTCCAGTGATTTAAACAGAAATATACATCTAATGTAATTATCCCACAATCCCATATTGCCTTTCATTTCCCCCCAGATGCTAAAAGTCCCAGCAGTCTCTTACTGAGTTGCCTAAATCTTCAGCTTCCTTTTGTCACCATTCATGATGCAATTATGCATTGTCAATAAAAAAAAGTCTTCAGCATACTGAAAACTGGCAATGTAGGTACAGCATAAAAAAGCGTATGTCTTATCTTATCCTTATGGTGTGTGCTCTGGCTTTTTAGATTGATCGTGCTAAGATTTAGGCATATGATTATTTTTGTCCACTCTGAATAGTACTGTTGAAGTTGGGATGTTAACCATGTGCCTCGGCCAGATTTTTTAAGGTATTTAGGTGCCTAAAAATGCAGATAGGTGATTTTGAAAATCCCGTTAGGACTCCTGTTAGTCTTTAGGGTGCCACCAGACTTCTTGTTCTTTTTAACTGCATCTTTAGGTGCCTAAACACTGTTGCCCTTTTTTCAACCCAAGTGGCTAGTATATTTTGGGGCCTTGGGGATGTTCTAGTTGGGAGTAGAAATTAGTGATAGGTATTTCTGGAATGCAGTTTTGTTTGTTTACCAAAAAAGTACAAACTCCTGTGTTTCTGAACACAGAAGGAACCAAGAACAAAAGGAGACTTTTTTTTGGATAGAGCCCCAAACCCCTTTAGCCAACAGGCTGAAAAACTCTCCTCCTCACTTTTTCCAGGGACATACTATGCTTACAGGCTGCTGTTTGGCTTTCTCACTTTTTGCCTGTACCTCTGTCTCTGTTTTTGTCTGTCCTCACCTAAGTTTTTGTGTGATCTCCCATACACCCACCCACCTAGTCGAAATAACCAGTTAGACCCTCCGCCCACCTGGAGCTAGTTTCTGGCGGACTCTATTAGGCTTTGTTTTAGGTATAGCCCCTTAACTGTATCTTACAACTATCTTAAATAGAAAAGGAGGACTTGTGGCACCTCAGAGACTAACAAATTTATTAGAGCATGGCGACCACGTGGCTGCTATTCTGAAAACTATCTTAAATGAGGATCATATTCACATGTCACTATGAACAAGATCTTAACTCAACCTATAACAAGGTTTCACACAGCTCATAACTGTATTTTTAAAATTCTTGCCCTACAGCTAGGTGTACACTACAGACATCAGTCGGCACAGCGGTGTTGGTCAGGGATGCCGAAAGGTGATCCCAGACTGACATAGCTGTGCTGGCAGAAGTCTGTAGTATTGATGCATTTAGGCCAAATTGTGCTTTTACTGGTACACAGTGTGTGTTGCATGTGTGTGGGATGGTTCTATTATATTGGTGCAAAATACAGCTTTGCCTGTAGAGCTATGTCCACAATAGGAGGCTTTGCTGGTGAAGTATACTGGTGTTCCTATACTGGTAAAGCACTCCCCTTGTATAGACATAACCTTCTGCAAAATCAAGATCTTCAAACAAGAAAATTATTTGTTAATTAAGACTTTCCAAAACTTGTCATCAGTTTGTATCTAGTTTAATGGATACTGATACTTTGTTTCCAATTGTAGCTTGTGTTCAGATGCACATTTCTCTCTCTTTTATTGTAGGATTTTGATTGTATTCTTGCAGATTTACTACATGAACAATACCGCGCAACGTGTAACTTTCTAAGGTAAAATTTCTTTCCCTAAATGTTGGATATTGGAGATAAAGTAGTGGGGATGTCTGGAATTCAGTTGTATCTGACTCAATTCGACTTTGTCATGAGAGTTTCATAAAATACTCATGTATTTTAGCTTTTCTTTTCTTTTCTTTTCTTTTTTTTTCCCCCTGTTGGCATTTATATGAATTGAGTCTGATCTAAAGTGCATTGGAGTTAATTTGAGTCTTTCCGCTGACTCTCGTGGGCTTTGGACCAGGCCTTAAATGACAGACAGGAGGGTGCTGATAGATTTTCTTATGGATCCATCATCCATCCATATATTGAGATAAATTTATCTCTGGGGTAAGCTGGCACCACTCCCATGGAAGTGTCTGGATATCCCACGGAAGAGTCTGGGATAAATTGATTGGTGACTCAAGTTACATGTAGAGTGTAAGTGGGCTGGAAAATGGCTGTAACTTAGTGATGATATAATGTAACCTGCACCAATTTGGTATTCAGTGGATATGTAAAATGAATGTATTTTACACATCAGAAGCACAAAGAGGGATCTAGAGGGAAAATCAGCTAGAAGGGGTATGTAAAAATGGACTATTTTATCTTGCATCTTCCTGTTAGCTGCTTTTCCTGTTATACCTATTTCTTGCTATACTCATTCTACTCCCTTTTGTTCCTTTTATCATTTATCTATTTTATTTGCACTTTCTAGGTCAGAGTTTGAGGTCAATTATGCCAGTATAAATGGAAAGAAGTCAAGAAAGGCATGCGATTGATGCCTATTCCATGAGACATAGAACCAGATTCATGGATGATTTAAACTGAGGTACATGTGGATCAGGAAAGAAGTGTTAGCTTCAAAAACACAAGTTGCATCAGTTTAATTAAGTTGGATTATAATTGATTTAGTTAAATTTGTACAAACCCCTGTGTAGTTTAGCTGATTATTTGGTTTAGCTTGTGCCTGTAAATTTGTCAACGCAGGCTAAACCAATATAAGCAAGTTGTAAATTGAATTAAGAATGTTCAGACATGCTTTTTCATTAGGTTAACTAAATCACCTTAATATCACATCTTTAGTTTGACAGATGCAATTTTCTATGTAGACCTGGCCTTAATGGGCTTAAATGATAAAGCAATTTATCCTGCACTAATCGGGTATTCACTGAGTGTGCAAAATTGGCCATATTTGAATATCAGTTGCTCCTACCCATGCCTGCTTACTGACACACTTCCAACCATGTGTGTAACTTAAACTACTGTTTTGAATCACCATTTACTTTGGCTAATTGCATGAGGGACTATGCATTAGCAACATCATTTGTCTGCCTTCTTTTCATATTGTCATTACTAGGCCCCTGCTAGAACCTGCAATATAGTCTTGTTTGTATAGAGGCAAGCTATTAGTATTGTACGCTTTAAGAAGTTGTATGACAAATGCTGGTTTGGCAACACAGAGCAGTTTCAACTCATTTGACTGAATATAAAATGCTGGCTCCAAACTGAAATTCTGGAAGGCTTTATTCAACCCCTCCATTGTTTGAAAACATTTGTTTTTAATTTCTTTCCAGAATAAACATTATCTTTTGGCTTTGTCTATTGCAGTGGTTCCCAAACTTTTTTTTCACAGACCACTTGAAAATTGCTGAGTGTCTCAGCGGACCACTTAATTAGCTTTCCAAATGTTGTTTGTCCCGTTAGCTAATTATTATAAAGCACTTTGGATAAAAGTACTGTATAAAAAAAACTTAATAAAAATAAACATTTTTTGTTCTATAAATAAAAGCACACAACTCATATTTTAATATCAGTTGTTTTACCTTTCTAACGCGATGGATGTGCCCTCTCTCCCCCACTGTGGCAGCCCCCGAGCTGGGGCTGGGAAGGAGCTGGGGGGGTCTCTCCCTTTCTCCCCTACTGCAGCAGCCTTCGAGCTGGGGCTGGGAAGGAGCACTGTCTCTCTTGGCAGCCGGAGCCCTGGAGCTGGGGAAAGTCACCTCTTTCTCTGGCTGCCGGAGCCCTGCATGTCCCAAATTCCTCCCCATCCCCTCTTCTCACCCCACTTCCCCCTCCCACCTACCCTCTATTCCCCCCCAAGGCCACCACCTCACCTTACATGCGCATCTTCTCCAGGGTCCAGGCACCTAATTAGTGGAGCTACCTATGCGCGGCTCCACTAATTAGGTGGGTGGCCCTTCATTTTCTGATGTGCGGCCGCCCAGGTGTGCATCTTAGAGGGAACTATCCACGGAACACCTGAATGGAGCAGTGGTCCGTGGACCACAGTTTGAGAACCTCTGGTTTATTGCTTTGAATGTATTTTTGGTAATATGAGCTAATTTACCTGTCAGATGCTCATTTTGTAGGCAGTGGTATGTGACAAGTCTTTCCAAAATGTTTGTTTTAGGACATTGCTGTTTTATTTTCCAAATTTTTCCAGATTAAATTATGCTTTTTGTATTTGTTCTCCCCCTCTCCTTGTATTGTTCTTCTTCAAGTAATGTCCCTAATAGGTGCTCCATTTTGGGTGCGCATATACTCCATGTGCCTTTGATTGGAAACGTTTGGTAACAATGCCCATTCAGTCTACACATGCACACTAGCTATCCTTGTGCCCTGTACCAAGGATATACAGAGCCATGTGGGACAAACTGCCATCAGTTCGTTTTCAACAGCCTTGGCCTGAGACGGAGTGTTTTGCAGTGCCTTCTTCTTAGCTAGTTTACCTTAGGGAATAGCTGTTCTTGTTTAACTATTGTTGGTTTTAGGTTTTACCTTTTAGCTCTCTCTAGGTTTTTTTATCCATATTAGCAGGTTTTTTTGAGGGGGGACTTCTTTGGGAGACTCCCCCGATTTTTCTCCTTCCTTTGAAGGAGGCTATCTTGGGTTATGCCTAAATACCTGGATTTGTACCTTGCCTTACTTGCTGGGATCCTATCCCAGTTAGTGCAGTCACTCTCACTTTATCCACTGCTTAAGGGATACCTATGTCCCATCTAAGTGTAAAATTTTGCTCAGGGTTTATGAGTGGGTCTAGAAAGAACAGGGCTTGGGCTTCTCATTATGGTACACTCCCTTTGACCTGCCTCTGACCCAGGCCCTGATACCCCCCTATACAGCTGTTTTCCAGTGAACACAATACCTCTGCAGCCAGCTCACCCATTAGATCTTTGCAGGAGAGAACCATGGGAGATAGTACCAAGACTTCCAGAAAGAGGAGCTCCAGATACCATCAGAGAGGTGCCTAGGTTACCACAGAGACCTGCGGCTCCAGAGAGCTCACATCCCAAAAAGGGTACTGCTGAGGCTCAAAGCTCTCCTGGTACTGAGGGTCCCTCCTCATCTAAGGCTTCAGGTACTTCTAAGTCCCATTGTACTCAGCATCGCTTGACACTGAAGCCAGCCCTGGTACCAGCCAGCTAGGATCGTGGTGCTAGGATCTCTAAGGACTCTGTGTTGAAGAAGCTGGTACTGGCTGCAGCCTCTGCTTCTTCCATGTTATCTACCATACCCAAGTTGAAATCACAAACTGATTGACCGGTGCCATTGGAGCCAAAGTCACCATCAATATCACTAGTTCTCACTGCCAGGCCTCTCCAGGTTGCTGCACAGATTCACCTGGTACCACGGGAGTTTAGATTATCCAGGGACTTGTTTGTTTTTGATGAATCTGAGTCCTCTCTGCTATGGGTGCAAAAGACACTTTGTATTGGAGCTTCATCTGTCACCATTATCACATCATTCTCCGGTACAGCCTTGCTCCCCAGTACCCACTAGAAAGGACAGACAACTTGCCTAAAAACCACCTCTGACTGTCCCTCCCATGGGCTATGAGGAGCATAACTTCTCTGACGATTTCCATTTGAGGCTCATGTGATCACCAACCTAGAGTTACCTCTGCTGAGATCTTTTCTGAGAGAGAAACTCCAAAACACAGGCAGACTCTAGTCATACCAGGAGGAATAAAGAGGGACGCATCTTGGGTACCTCCTTTTCCTTATGGCCTCCCTCAGTTGCCATATTGGGGGGACCTGTGGGCTGCTTATCGGCAACAGTTTTCCAGAGCACTCTGCTACACCCTGGGGAGTGCCAGAGGCAGCAATTATCTGCTCTTCATGTCCCTCCACATCTCTGTCACAGGAGGAATCTTTAGAGGAGCAGGAGAAAAGGGCTGCTGAGGACGCTACATCACAGACATCTCCTCCTCTTCACCCAATGAGGTGGTGATCCCTCCCTCCCCCTCATATGTGGATGATTTTAAGCAGTTCCAGGAGCTTATGAAGAGGACCACTGACTCCCTCCAAATCCCCCTGGAGGAGGTCCATGAGACTCAGCATAAACTCTTGAACATTCTCCATGCTGCCACCTCTGGTCAGGTAAGCACATAAATGAGGCTTTACTTGAACCTGCCAAAACAATCCAGCAACCCTGGTCACCAGGCTTCCAAGTTGTAAAAGGGTAGATAAAAAGTATATGTTCCTGCCAAAAGTGCAGAATTTTTGTTCATACACCCAGCACCCAATTCCTTCATGGTTGATGCTGTGAACAAACTTAATAGGTGTGACAGGGTTCAGTGTGCAATCCAGACCAGTAAGGGATTGTGTCACCTCTTACTGTGTACCCCTGGTTGCCTCACAATGCCTTTCTACTTTAATTCCCTGCCTGGGATGCCTATAGCCTGCCAAGAAGCATGCAGGTATCTGCATATAGCTGCAGCCCTGGTCCAGCAGACTCTGATCCCAACAGACAGCCAGCAACACTCCAGGTATACTCTGGCTTCCACCAACCTTGGTTATTACTTGTAGAGTGACCCCAGCTCGCTCCCAGTCCCAAATTTTCCCCAAACCATGTGCTCTGTAATGTCCAGCCCTATCCTGGACAGTTCAGAGAAATAATTAGGGTGGTTTGTTCTTGTAAAGACAGAAAAGCACATCACAGCTTATTAACTTAACTAGGTTAAATACATCCTTTCATTTAAGCACCACACTGAGTTGGTTTATAGTAAAAATAAA